CTCACACAGTGAAAGGGGAAGCGAAAGGGAAGAAGCCAGAAAGAACCCTGTGGTGTTGGGTTGGAAGGAAAGGTACTGGTGTGAACTCCTGGCTTGCAGTTTGCATAGGGGGACATAGAAATATGTATGGTTGTAAATGAGTATGTATGTGTGGGTGTGCAAATGGGCCTGGAAGCAGGGACACCCCAGTAGCCGTAAGCCTGCTTAGCACTCAGATCTTGGCTTGTACGTAGCCGGTTCAGCTTCCAGGAACTAGGGCTCCTTGTGGAAATGACTCAGTCCGGGGCTGGGGCAGGGAAAGTAGGACATGAACCTGGAACATTTTGTCACACCAGACAGCAAGGAAGGGCTCTGAGGATCATGGGAACATGGGAGGAGGACCAAGCCAGTATGAAGGGGTTTCCCCTGGCCAAATTAGAGACAGTTTGAGCATCAAATAAAAGATAGTAGCAGATGATAACCCACTGAATAAAATAGGACATCATGCGTCCATCTCCATAGGAATACATAAGTGAGTACACTGAAGGTTTGAAATTGATAATTACATAGTATCGAAGCACTCCCTCCCCCGTAACTTCTTAACTACAAAGGGGGAAAGAGTAACTTTGCAGTGGGGAACTGGCAGCCACCACCTCAGTCAGGTGATCAAAGTGAAATCACGGACAACCTGATGGAATGCACTGAGAAGAATGTAAATAGAATATCACTTTTTTATGCCAAAGATGCGTAACCTGAATCCAGCCGTCAGGACGGTCAGACACCCTCAAACTGGGGAATGTCTTATAGGATAACTGGCCATTATCGTGCATCAAGGTCATGAAACTCGGGGAAGGACCACAGAACTGCTAAACCAAAGGAGCCTGAAGACAAATGACAACCAGAGGCCATGTGTGATTCTGAACTGGATCTTTCTGTTTGTTACAAAGGGCATCGTTGAGACAACTAGGCACAATAGGGTGGGGTCCAGGGAAAGACTGGAAGTAGTGTAGCGACGTGAAATTTCCTGATTTTGATGGTTGTATTCTGGTTGTATCAAAGAACGCTTTTGTTTTCAGGAAATCCTAAAATAGAGTGAAGGGAGATCAGATTGACAACTTACTCTCTGATGGTTCAGGAGAAAGGGTTCTTTGGACTGTACTTAAGATCTTTCTGGATGTGATTGTTTCACAACAAAGCAAATAAAAAACCACAAGATACCATCTCACATTTATCACAAGATACCATCTCCCATTTATTAGAATGGCTAAAATAAAAATGACAAATGTTGGGGGACAGGTGTGCCGCAACTGGGACTCTCCTCCGTGCCTTGTGGAAGTATAAAATAAGTCTTTATTAAAATAGCCAAATAATTCTCCCAAGTGCAGGGACCATCCTGTGACCCGGTGGCCCCACTCCTAGCTTCCCTGGGCCTACCGTACCTTTTCTGCCCTTCTGTGCCTGGCAAAATGTGACTTCTTTCTCAAGAGTGCACCCAAAAGTTATCATAAAGCCTTCATGATAAAAACTTTCGGCAAACTTGGACTAGAAGGTGTGCATGAGAAGGTTCACTCGGTAGGATTAGGGTGTCCCAACTCTGCACATTATGAAGAAACTGGCTCTGGGCCAGTGTTCGGAAGATAATCTCCAAGCTCTGGGCATATCCTGCCTGCTAAGAGGGTGTTTTGTTTTTGAATACCTGGAGCCTTGGACCGTCACACCAGAGAGTTTATGCTACTAACAGTGTGATTTATGACCGGGGCCTTGAACCAAACTATTTGAATTTGACCTCTGGAGTAACTGGAGACGGAGTAACTAAGGTTAGCTACCTGAGTGCTCCATGCTGCATGACTGACTCCCAGTGAAACGCTGGATGCCAAGGCCCCAGGGAGCTTTCCGGGTTGACAAGACTCTGTATGTGCACATGTTCTCATTGCTGGGGGAATTAGGTGCTGCCTGTCGTATTTCACTGGGAGAAGACAACTGGAAGCTTGCATCTAGGCTTCTCCTGGACTTTCAGGAGTAGAATTGAGTAATTCATCACATCCGTACAACTCCTAGTGCTCATCACAAGTGCCCTCCTCAGTCCCCATCACCCATTTAGCCCACCCCCCACCCACCTTCCCTCCAGCAACCTGTTTGTTCTCTATTGTTAAGAGTCTGTTTTATGGTTTACCTCTCTTTTCCCCCCATGTTCATCTGTTTTGTTTCTTAAATTCCATGAGAACTGATCTCTATGTATTTCTTTTTCCCGCCTAGGAATATGATATCTCTTTCCATTTGTTACAGGGTATTTTTGTGTCTTTCAAGAACATCTTTTAGTTTTTCCACACATGGGTTTGGGCTTTTCTTGTTAAATTTATGCTGTGATATTTGTTGTCGTTGTTAGTTTTTTATTCTTTGTTTTGGCTATTGCAAATGGGGTTTTCTCTTTCCCTGAATCTTGTCACTGTCAACCTGGCACTTTCTGAGGAACATTTAAGTCATTGTTTTGTTATTACAAGTAGTGCTGTGATCAATATCCTTATAACTATATCTCTGTGTATTTGTGAAACTTAGAGTAGCAGATGTATTTTCCAAAGATGGCTGCATCCAAACATATCCCATCCCACATGGTCTTATTAAAATCAGTTTGTCACTGCTCCACTGGGAGGGAGATGTGAGGTGTGTGTCCCCTCCCCTTGAGCCTGAGGGGACCGTTGTAACTGCCTGGGCCATGGTGTAGGGCAGAAATGACAGCATGTGACTTCCTGGCTGTTATAAAAGGCACTGACGCTTCTGCCACGGTCTCAAGGGACTGCCCGCTCTGGGGAGACAGTGACACTCGCATGGACCTCTGACGAGGGAACGAGGCTCCCGGCCATCACCCGCTCGGCAGCCATGGGAAGGAGCCTCCTTGGAAGGGGATCCTCCCGCCTGTGGCAAGCCTTCGGGTGATGCAGCCCCATCCAGCATCCGGCTGCACCCTCAGGAAGGACCCGGAGTCAGAACTGCCCGGCCAAGCCACTCCCAAATTTTCTGGACCCAGAAACACTGATGGATGGTAAATGATTATTGTTGTTTCGAGGCACTAAGCTTTAGACTGATTTGTTTCCCCACCATTGTTGCTGGATGCTTAGGAAGGTTGATGTTATAGTTACTTTTGAAAATTCTTTTAGGAATGTTCGAGAAGAGCATTTCCTAAACAGCCTTTCTTAGCACCCTGGTCTTTTCCAAAAGCCCCATGAAAATGGTCTCTGCAGTCACAGGTTATTTGGAAAAGACATCCTTCTGGAAATTCAGAATATATTTTAGCATTATTAAAGGCTCTAAAAATCGGTGGCGCCTCGGTGGCTCAGTTGTTAAGCGCCTGCCTTTGGCTCAGGTTATGATCCCAGGGTCCTGGGATTGAGCCCCGCATCGGGCTCCCTGCTCAGCGGGAAGCCTGCTTCTCCCTCTCCCACTCCCCCTGCTTGTGTTCCCT